CAAATACTAAAAAGGCTCGTACATTAGATCGGGGACAAGAGTATTTTATATGGTTTCCTCCTCTCGAAACCAATGCGAGTTGAACTATTGATTTTTGGTAAAATTGTGATATTACATAACAAAATAAACAAAACTATGATCCATTTTTCAGACTATACAGGTGATATTATTTAATAAAAATTGTCAAGTTACATCGTCTTAATTTGTACAAAGAAGAAAAATTTGAACGGTGAAACTATGGATGTCACCACCTCCAATCTATGCATAGATGTAAAAAGAAGAAAGAGAGTCGGTCAGCACGGAAAGAAGAAACCCATAGTTTTATATCTATGCATAGATTGGAGGTGGTGACATCCATAGCTTCACCGTTCAAATTTCGTATGGATGTTTCGTTGTTACTCTCAAAGATTATCGAATGATAACCCATGATTTCCAAAAAAATTACTTCTAGAAAAAACTACCGGTGATTTAAAGAAAAACAGATTTCGGTGGACCGGCAAAATGTTTTAGCCCGCGTTAACACCCATATAACACAAACACAAATTTTTTTTTTTTTTGATAAATAACTCAAATGAAGAAAAGTCACAAAAGAGAGCTTTTGATCATTGTTGTGGTGATAATTGATGCATATAGTCACCTTTTCTTTTCACCAACAACTATAGATTAGACTAAAAAGAAACAACATGAATGCAAGTAAACTTTTTTAAAAAGGACATGCACGCACACACGGACGTACGTACGTGTAAGTGAATCATCCAATACGTATGGATCCGACTAGGGCCAGACAGGCTACATTTCCAACAGTCGACTTGATGACTTGAACCAGACCGAGGGAAGATGTGAGGACACCACTTAGAGGGAAGACCGAGCATGAGGCCACGGGAAGATTAACCCTAATGAAGCATCTGTTTATGTCAAAGTTAACTAAGCCAAGGATCCCGGTTGTGATGGTAAATCCTCCGGCTTGGTTCGTGACGGCTTGAGCTATGCTCAAGCCGTTCCATACCAAGTAAACGGGGATGCCAGTACATGGAGGGGCGTTTAGGTTTCCGTTAAGGGTACAACGCAAGACACCCGTTACTTGGACGGAGTTAATTTGGAGGCCATTAAGTAGAAGGGCGTGGGAAAGGGATGATAATGATGCCATGAAGACCATGGAAATCAAAAGAGCACTTGTTGTCTTAACCATTTTTTCTCTCTTTTTTTTTGCAAGTTTTAATTGATGGTGAATGATTTTACTTAGTTGTGTTGCAATGAGAACGCCAAGGGGGTGTATTTATATGAGTATGGAAATTGTTATTATATTACAAGTTACAAACTTGTTGATGGAGGATTATTTAATTAGATACGATTTTCTGATTTTGTTATTGGCGCTCGAGTGTGTTGTCCTTTTCGTAATCATTGTCGCGTTATCTACTGTATCCAACTAAAACTTTTACCACCTTGGTTTTTAATTTACATGTGTTACAACTTATAAACGAATCAAAGATAATATTCATTCGATAATATTTGCATATAAGTATTAGTCCTGCTAATGCTAAAGTTTTGTTGCACGAATGTTGCATAAACGCTAAAGCCTTTTCCTCACCTCTTTCTTTTCTTTTTTTGGTGTGTTTTCTTTATCTCCTCCTCTCTCTAATAGTTAACTTAATATGTAGTCTATAATTCCTGGTTTCATAGATTCTTGTTCACAATTCCTTATTTTTATGTCAACTGTTTGTTATATTCTTATATCTGCGATACATTCTTAAGAGTTCAATTTTATAATTAAAAAACATAAAAGCATAATAGGATAGCCATAAAAGTTAGATCAGGAGGAGGGATCTTACCGACGAGGCTATGTACCCAATCAAACATCATTCGGAGAGGCCAGAAAGAACAAACACGAGTCCGAAACCGATTTGATCGATCATTGTAGATGTTTTGAGACCCTCCACCGTCTACGCTATTTTCGGAAACACGTAAGTTAACCTCAAAGCGACAAATGGGACACGTGTTGTGAATATTCAACCAAGACACAATGCAACTTGAATGATACAAATGCATGCATTTCAACACTTTTCCTTCCTCTCCAACTTCAAACTCCTCCTTGCATATCGCACAAACCTTCTCTTTCGCCAAATCATCTTCCGCGATTACCACCCTCTTTACAGCCTCGATGGCGGATTGCGAGGCTGGTGGTGGACCGATCCGTTCGTTAGGCATGACATCAGTGAATACATCTTGGGTATGATTAACTAGATCATCATTGAACCGGTTACTTGTCGGTGAGTTGATAAGATGGAGAGTGATCCAATCGGTATCGGTATCCCAATAAGGTCGGTTTAGCCTCATAATATCAAGCTCATCGTGAAGATTGATCTCTCTGGAACAGAAAGGACACAAGGGACCATATAGACCAAAGTTTTGTAGCCTTATGGTACGGCTACAATGGCGGCAATAGAAGTAATGGAACGTTCTTGTTCTTCTTGTTCCATTCACAATAACTCTTGGACGATACTCAGATGTCATGTAATTGTAACGTGGATTTTTGAATCTTTTTCTTGGTTTTCTGTTGGAAGGATGCATTTATACCTTGATACGTGTACATGTTTTCAAGAAGAGGAAAGACAAAGCCTATACGAATGTGTTATTCTTTTCTGTGTTTAGGACCGTGTCGTATAGCCTCTGCTATGTTAACTCGAGAATCTTTGTGGTGATTTGTCTCGTACGAGTCAAATATTCAAAAGGTATGTTTGGGGAATCAATTTTGACAAAGGGTGTAGGTTTACCAAAGAGGATAGTAATATGATCGGCCCATGATTGGCCCACTTAAACTTATTCCGGATTATTGGCCCATTGTCTTGGTCACACCAAGTCCGAACAAAATTTAGCTACGGTTACCCTTTGTTTTATATTTAGGGCAATAGAAGTAATTAGAGTAAATTAGTGACAGAAAACTACAAGGAAGGTGAAGCTTTTTTTCGCTTTTGATAAACCGTAGAAATTATAAATCTTTGTTCTTTAATTTCTTACAAATCTTTGATAATACCACGTTTAAAATATAACCACCCCTCTCAAGTGGAGTTGAACTAATGACCTTGAATATTCACTTTCAAGCTCACTAGATCACCATCTATTGGGTAAAGTATGTGAAGTTGCCCATGACCTTGTTTTCAGCATGTACAACTAAATGATCCCCATGTAAAAACAAAATTCTTTAAAAGAACATTTTCATTTTTTTAAAAAGATTTAAGACTCAATTTTGTTTTTAAAGGAATCTGGTACGTAATAATATACCAAATATGGTTTAATAAATAGTTTGCACATGACAATCAAAAGTAATTTGAGACATCCTTGTGAAGTATGTGGGCAGTGTGATGTAAGAGCTATATGCCTCAAATCTGAAACTCATTAAAGACAATTAAGATTTGATAATTTTGAATTAATTGTTCTTAAAGATCTGAAAAAACAGAATTTTGATGTGGTACTAACGAAGGCACTTTATAATTTACATACAAGGTTCATGAAATCGTCGTCTTATAATTGTACACTTGATTGATATATAACCACTCTAATTCAAAAGTACGTACACACTCTAATCGTTTAATTACTATTTTTTTGAGAAGGAAGTAGTTAGTAGTTTTTTTTTTTGAAACATAACTAATTAATAGTTATAACAAATATATAAATAAATTTGATTTGTATGTGGATTCAAGGGACATTAGTACTTAAATTGGGGAGAGTCTTGAGGGTGACGTCTTTGCTAGTCTTATTTGTTTCAATATGATCCGATGTCGTAGAGTTACTCTTCATTTCCTTGTTTTTACCCCAAAGCACAAGGTACAATCCTCCCACGATAATTACTGTACCGATTATGCTGTAATGTCGCCAAGTAAAAATAAACCATTACATACATACATCAAGTCCATCTCCACAAAGCAATACAATATACATGAATTTATGTACCTTCCCAAATGAAGTGTTTCATTTAGAAAAAATGATCCAACAAGGGCTACGATCACAAGTGCTATAGGGCTAAATATCGATACAAATAACGGCCCTCTAGACTCCACGCACCATGCGTTGACTGCTACCACCATCCCGGATATCAAAATTGCCTGCAATCGACCACATAGAATATATACTTCAAGGTACAAAACATGCGTTTAAGTGTGT